ACGCCCTCGGGTGTGCGCAGACCGGGTGAGCCCGGACGGGCCGGCGTCTGAACGGGCAGACCTGTGCCGCACAGCTCGCGGGCGCGGCGAGCCGCATGCAAGTCTGCGTCTTCGCGCGGAACCTGAGAAACATCAAGGAAGCCGCCGCCGGCCCGCTCCGAGGTTCAAAGGCCGCGGCGCACACCTCAAAGACGCGCTCTCCGCCTGGTGGAGGGAGTGTGAGGCAGAGAATCAAGAGACAGTTCCGGCACCTACCGGCAACCTGACCCCGAACAAGGAAGCCACTTAACCTCTCCCCACCTCCCCCTCGTCACCGGGGAAGCAGGGAAATGAGCACTCGACGCCGACTCGCGTGAACGTTGCGGGGCTAACGAGAGCCGCCAGGCGCAGGGCCACAGCCCGGGCTGCGGAGACCGCTGTTCGTCCCGGCAACCACGACCTGGCCGCTGGGCGCCGGGCGCCAAGGTGCCGAGAAAACATCTCCGTTCGAAGACAGCGCCACGAGGTGGCACGTCATCGCAGACCCGCCGGGCCCCGCCGCCCGAGGGCTCTGCGGGCATGCACCCTTCGGCTCACGTGCGGCCACGAACAGGTTCCTTCCAGAACCCCAGGCCCACAGTGATGATGGCCCAGCCAGTGCTGCGCCCGCTGCAGGGCCGAAGGAGCCCCTGCCCCTCTGGGCAGCCCCCCGGCACTCAGGAGGTGTCTTTTCAGCGTGGGAATAGTCGTCTGTCCCCCTGGGGCTTCCGCCCCCCGGCCCCAGTGACACCCAACAGGACCGTGCAGGACAGGCCAGGACTCGCCGCCCTCCAACACGGCCAGCGCCTCCGCGCCCCGTCCCCTGCCGTGACTCTGCTCTCCGGGCGGCTCCCTCAGAGGTTCCCTCGGAGGCCCGGGCTGCGGCCCCACCGCCGCCCCGAGTGCCCACGCCTGAATGTGCTGCTGATGGTCTCCGGTCGCCACGGAGCACGGCGTCCAGAGCTGACCACACAACGTTTTCTTGAGCGTATTTAACACTTCTGAGCAAATCGAGTCTGAGCCTAGCGCTGACTGTTTTAACAGCCAGCACCCCCAGCGGTGTGCTCAGGGGGACGCCTGAGGGGTTGTTTTGCTTGCTCGGAAGCTTCACGCCGCCTCCCCACTTTTCGGGCTGAGGCTGCAGGGCGTTGGCTGAGAAGCAGTCCCTCTCCGGGTCGGACTCAGTGCCGAGGGGCCTGGTCTCTCGTACACGGACACCACCGAGTCACATGACACTGCAGCAAGGGCCACGGCCTTTGAACACCTCACACGCGTCCCGGGATGAAGCAGAGACCTGCAGCTCAGGGAGGCTCCCGGCAGGCAGATGGGGACCAAGTGCCCGGTGAGGACAGCGCACGCTGGGGACCCTCGGGGAGGCCCCACCCAGCCATCCAAAGGCAGCCCCTCTGGTCTCAGCCTGGGGACAACGGGGCACCCGGCCACCTTTCCCGGCACGTCTGCTTTAATGACAGAGGACACCACGGTCAGCCAGCGAGCCCGCTGCCCTCGCTTCCTTAAGGAGGGGGCTGCATTACCTCACACTGTCACCTCCCGAAGTCACACCGATAGTGACGGAGGAGCCCGGGGCAGGCGTGACCAGGCAACATCTCTCGTGTGACCCAGCGCACACACGAGCCCCCCACGTGCCACGCCGGGACCCAAAATACTTATAGAGAAATTCTTCCGTCTCAGTATCTGCTCCTGCGGTCTACCAGACCCATCCCATCCATTTACCAGTGTAAACAGCCCTGGCCGGTGGGGCTCAGTGGACAGAACGCTGACCTGCGGACCGAGGGGTCACCGGATCAGTTCCTGGTGGGGGTGTGTGCCTGCCCTGCAGGCCCGGTCCCCAGTTGGGGGTCTGTGAGAGGCAACCAATTCATGTCTCTCTCACACATCAGGGTTTCTCTCCCCCTCTTCCTCTCTCCCTCCCCCTCTAAGAAGAAGTAAATAAATTTTTTTTAAAAAGTTGTAAATAGAAAATGCTCTTCCTGCATAAACTTGGTGGCAGCGCTGCCCACCATCTGGTATAGGATTAGTCCCAGCTCTCCGGCTGGTCTCCCCTTGCCTGCCCCGCCCCGGACACCGACGAGTGCAGCCAGCACGGGCATGCTCCTTCCCTCCGGCTTCTGGTTGCGCTTGGCCCCGGCGTGGGGCAGGCAGGAGACCAGAGGCGGGGGGGCGCGGGGGGAAGGACAATGAGGTTAGGATGTCTCCCCTGGGCTCCCTCTCCCTCCAGGTCACACCGGCTGGACGTGTCCCTGCCTGAAGAGCACAGCTCTTGACCTCAGGTCCCGGCATACCCCTGGGGCCGTAACTCCAGTAGCACCCACGGCTCTGCAGACGCGCCTGTGGTTGAATGCCCTCAGAGACCCACTTTGGGGGACGCTGCATTTTCCCCAGAGACCTGACTTTCAGTGGAATTTTATTTTTTTTTATACTCCAAAGGGAATTAAATCCAGGCGTCTGTTCCAACAGGGTATGTCAAAAACCATAAAACTCAACTACTTTATGACATCTTGTAAAACATTTTATATCTGCAATTGAGACTCTCCAGCATGAGCTCAGGCAGCAGACAACACTGGCGGGGACGGTGCCCCGCAGGAAAGAGAAACAGGGACGTTTTCTCAGATTAGGATTAAGCAGGAGCCTCTAAAAATGAAGCACAGCCAGGTTTGATCTCAAGAACAGAACGCTGAAATTTCCACGGTTTACGCAGTGCGCTGTAAGTTCAGAGTTGCTGAGACTTAAAAAATATCACTGACTCTCAAACGACCGCAGTTGTACGGATGCATTAGGACCTCAGAGGTGTTAGAATGGGGGGGGGGCGGGGAGAAAAGCATGCTGTAGAAGGGAAGAAATACAGCTTGTCTCAGGCAGGGGACCCATTCGGAGTTCGGCGGGTAACTTTTCCTGGGGAGAGGCGACACACTGTCTCTTTAGAGAGGACTCGGGGTCTTCTCGGCTGCGGGAGCGACGCCAGGGCCGCGGGCGTCACGGAGACAAGGCCCCCGTATCTCAGCTGGGAGGGGAGGTCGGCTTCCCCCTGACCGCGGGCCGTGAACTTCTGAATGCGCAGACCGTCGCTCCCGACCTGCGCTTGAGACCCCGTGCGCACGACCCATGTGGGTTTTTCCGGGGCGCCTGGGAGCCCCTCTGTTCACGCCGCATCCTCTGTCCCAGCCTCGTCGTGGGCTCCTGTCCGAAGCCCGCCGCTGCGCAGCCCCGGGACCTCGGGAAGCGGCTCAGACGCAGCAGGGGCGTCCGACAAGTGCGTGCGTGCGGTCACTGCTCACCCCTGCTGCGAGCTCCCCGCCGGCTGGCCGGCAGGGCGGTTTGCCCCAGCCGCCCAGCGGAACGCGCCGCCGCCCCCGGTGCAGGCGGAGGCTGCGTCCCGCTCACACAGTGCCGCTGCGTCAGGAGGCGGGCGGGAGCACGGAAAGGGGGGAGGACCGGGTGGTGTGGTTACGGGCAGACCTGACGGTCAGTCTCTGCCCAGCGGCGCTTTGGAGAAGAATCACTGGGTGGACACACGCAAGACACCCAGTAAAGACGTTTACGTGTGAAGTGGGTCAAGGCTTTCCCCTAAAGCTGTCTTCCTCTCCCCCTGGGGCATGCGGGGCACGTGGGACCCTCTCTGGTGAGAGGCCATGCTGCTTCCCGACTTCGCCCGGAGCAGCGTCGGGTGGGCGTGGCCGGCGCTCGCTGCAGACAGGTGTTTGAAGGAGTCTCACCAGTGCACAGCACCTGTGGCCAAACCCCCCTCCAGGGGGCAGCGCGGCGGCATCTCGGTGGGCACGCTGACCCACAATCCTCGGTTTCACCTCCGATAAGGTCAGAATCGCCCTCGCTGACGGTAACGGGAGGAAACCAGACTTGACTGGCTGACCATGTTAGCAGGGGGCCTTCCTGTGGGCGGCAACACGGCGAGGAAACGGGGGGGGGGGGGCGCGGGCGGAGCAGAGCTTCCAGATGCTCCTCCGCTCGGCCGCCATGAGAGCCCCCGCAGGCTGCCCAGCACCCCGACCCTGGGTCTCCTCTTCACCCCGCAGCAAAGCTGCGGCCCGACGCACAGAACTGGGGTGAATGGCACATCCAGCGCACCGCTGGGAACCCCGCCCTCCCCCTGCTCCTGTGCGTGCTGTGGGTCAGCAGGCGGGCTCCCCCGGGCCGCAGGAGGGGACGGGCCCCTTCCTGCCACACCGCCAGCGCTCCCAGTGCCGCCCCGCTGCGAACGGCCACACGAGGAAGCGAGCGTGGCGGAAACAGAGCACAGCACCGCAGCGGCAAAGGTGGGCCCGGGCGGGGTGTGGCCGGCACAGCCTCCCTCCACTGGGAGCCCCACGTAGAGCAGCCGACGCCCCTCAGCAAGGTCGGGGGTTCCAGTTTTCCTCCGAAGCATGTCTTGAACTTACTCTCGAAAACTGCAGCAGCACGACCTGTCTAATGGAATGGCGTGTACACGCGTGTGCCCCACACGCGTCTGTGGAAAGGAACCACCGCGAGTCCCCCAGAAGGACGCTTCGGGAGGACCACGCCCGACGGCACAGAGAATGAAAACCGAGGGCGCGCCACGTCAGGGGGGACGGGACGCGGGCCGTGACCCCGGGGCCGTGCGTGGCACCACCACAGAGAGACGGGCTCCGAGGGGAGGGCGTCGGGTCGGAACCAGGTCTGCCGCCGGGAGGGGAGACCTCTGGACCGGGAGAGGCGCGTCTGCGCCAGGGACGGACCTGGCGGCACCCTCAGCGGGCGTGGGAGCTGACGGTCACGTGAGGGGACACCAGCACCACCTCCGCCGGGTGGCCACCCCTTCGGCAGGCGGCCTCGAGCCCAGTCGGAGAGGAGACGGCCCCGGGGGCCACCGTGGGAACGGGGCGCCCCTGCAGCAACCCCGTCACCGCGCACCTGTGGTTCTCGGGGCGTGTGACGTCACAGATTTGGAAACCCCGACTCACCGCAACGCCCCCCAGAGCCCTTACCTTCAGCGGTGCCCGACAGACCGTCGGCTTTGAAGTTGCTGGTGCTTTTCTTCCTCCGGTGCTTCTTTCTGTTGGCGTGGGGGGAGGGGGGCGGGTCGAGCTTGGGGCTGGTGGTGCTGGAGATGCTCGGGCTGGAGCACAGCGAGTCGCCCAGCCCCGTGTCTGCCGGGCGGAGAGCAAAACAGAGCGGGTTAGCACGCTGCCCGGACACCGGGAGCCCGGCCCTCCACGGTCACGCCCGGCCCCGCAGACGCCCACCGCCGGGACGGCACGTGCGTCTCACGACGCGTGACACACGACACCGCGGGACGGGAGGCCCGGGGCGCCCACACGATAGTTAAATACTATATACTATATATACGTGTGTATGTATGTATGTGTCTATGTAATACAACACAGAGGGCAGCGTGGGACCACGGGACAGGAGGCCGGGGCGACCAGCACTGAAGGAAGCTGAGCTGCTGGACAGGCGCAAACGTCTAGTGACGCAACCGCTAAGTTGCAACGTGCCACAGAGCTAGCGCAGCGAGAGTGCACAGAATGCGCCCGTGCACGTGACACACACATGGTTTGCCATGCTGCGCCGCGGATCTGAAAGCTGCTGAGAGCACAGACGTCCTCAGCAGGCGGTGGGTGTCCGGAGAGGACGGGGGCGAAAAGGGGTCTGGAAGTGGGGGGAGGTGCCGGGGTGGGGACTGCCATTTCCGACCGGTGGTCAGGGCAGGCCTCGCTAAGAAGGGGACCTCTGAGATAAGACCACTGGTGGTGACGAGTTGGCCCCAACAGAGAAACACCCCAGTGGGTTTGACGAGCGGGGACCTCGGGAGGCTGGGCCGCGAGGATGGGAGAGGCGGAGGGGGAGGGGTTTGCAGCCACTGGGAGGCGCCGGCTGTTACCAGGGGAAACGGTTTTGGGCAGAAGATGACATCATTTCAAATCTAAACATACTTGAATGCAAACTGAGTTTTAAATACATTCACTCTGTGGAGTACTAGACAATTTTGTCACGCATCAAGAAAAAGGAACCACAACTTAAGGTATCTTTTCAGATACACGTTTCCGAACGTGCCCAAAGACGCAGCTTCCCAGGTGTGCGCGGGCCAGAGATCCCTCGCCCGAGTCTGCAAGGTGGGGAGAGTCCACCAGAGCCCCGAGTATCCCACACACTCGGAGGAAAGGCCACCAGTGCCCCCCAGCACCACCAGTGGTCCAGCCCGTTGGGGAGGAGTCGGTCTCAGCAGCAACCCCCCCGCGGCTCACCACGCCCCCTCTGGCGGGAGGCCCTGGGAGGTTTCATGCACGCATGGAAGCTGTGGTCGGCAGAGCCCAGGGCGGGAGCCCCCGAGAGGCGCCCCCCATCTGGCCACTGCTCCTGGCTGTGGTCCTGGAGGGGGTGGGTTCCAAGTTTGTTGCTGTAGGAAGGGCAGTTAGCTGCGTGGTGACTGCTCAGAATTGGTGGCGACAGTGGGCAGGCCAAGGGGGCGCGTGGACGGTGGGGCGAGGACAGGCAGCTGCCACCAAAGCACTTGTCCACCCAGAGGACACTCCGCATGCCGGGTCCGGGGGGAAGGCTGTGGCCAGCAGCACCAACTGCAAGCATGGCCCAGAGGAGGTGGTCGCAGAGCCACATTATGGCAGAGGTCAAGGAGGGGCAGAGCACCGCCGGGTCAGGGAGGCCCAGGCGGGAGGCCGGAGTGGTCAGGGACCCCCGTGGAGGGGCCCACGGTTTCTAGAGAACCAGGTACCTGAGCCTGGCCCCAGGATATTAGTGCCCCCGGCGTGCAGGTCTTCAGAACGCGCTGCCAAGAGCAGCGGACACGCCTCTGTTTAAATGCGGGTGGTCGAGACGCACGAGGCTTCCACGCTGTGCCGGCCGCTGCCAAGAACCCCGCTGCCCGACAAGGTGTCCCCCAAGGTGAAGGGGCCCTGATGGCCCGGCCGCGCTCGGACACCTAAGTGAGCGCCAGCTGGCAACACCCCCGCGCCTCCCGACTGCCTGCAAAAAACGCGCTTTATTCTGTGTCGGTTGCCGGGCACCGTGACAGGCGGCGACTGGCGGCCGCAGGAGCCGCTGCAGGAGGGGCGCGGCGGAGAGGAAGAAGGCAGGCAGGCCGCATCAGAAGAGCAAGCGCCTCATTACTCCACATCTAACGCCGTGCGGACGGCGCTGCCGAGTCCCGGGCCGCGCCGGGTGGGCCGGGCCGCCGCCGTCCCGCCCGCTCAGCGCCGGCCATTAGTTCCTCCCAATCGGGTGTCAATGCTCGACGCACAGCCCCCAGAACACACAACCCGGGCAATCACGGCGACAGCCCGCGGCCTCCGCGGGCTCGGGGCGTGAGGCATGGGTCCGAGAGGCAGCCTCACTCCTCAGCCGGGGGGCTGACAGGCGTGACCGGCGGGATAAAATAACACTCGGCGCGCATAAATCTCGGGCAGCCCGCCCGAGACGGGCGGGCGGGGACGGGTCCTCGGCCGTCATCCCGGCAGGCAGGCCCAAGGACGCTCATAACTTATTTCACAATCATTTAGTTTCAGCTCAAGTGGAAACCGTGACAACTTATCTCTGCTGACAAGATGCCATGTCGAACCTGACAATTAACTCTCCTCTGATGATCGGCCCAGGCGATCATTAGCTGGGCTGCCGCCGAGGAACTGCTGCGGGGCGCAGGGCGCGCCTCCGTGAGAGTGAGGGCCGGGGCCGCCGCCACCAGGGGTGCGGACAGGCTTCTGCCGCCCCAGCCCCGGCTCCCCGACAGACCCGGCCCCGCTGCGCCCGCGGTCTGGACTGCCACGAGTCCTGTGACCCCTGCCACTGGCCCTCCGTATGCACGTCCCCAGGCCCCAAGGAGGGCAGAGGTCAACGCCCCCCCGCCGCCCCCAGATTCGCAGCCCGTATTTCAGGGAGCCCCGGGCCTTGACTTGGAGAGGGGACGCCGAGTACAGCAGCGGGGGGCCACCCACTGTCGGGAGCAGCTGTTCGTGGTCCCTGCGGCTGGCCGACTGGGAGTCCCCTCCATGCTGGTGAACGACACCAACTACTTTAAACGCACGGACACAGAAGCGGGAGGGGAATGGGGAGAGGGCAGAGGGCAGAGGGCAGAGGGGAGAGGGGAGAGGGGAGAGGGGAGAGGGCGGGCGGGGGTGTATTAACGCTCTTTCTCCCTCCCATTTACACCCCAACCCGCCCGTTTGGTAGGGTCAGAGACAACACACCGGCAAACCCCCCCTTTTTTTTTTGGTGTTAGAAGAACTCAGATGATCAAAGACAAGGAAGGCTGTTTGTTGGGGCTGGCACGGGGGCTCGGGCGAGGGTTAGGGCCCTGAGAACCCGAGACGGAGTCTTTGAGGCCGCTGGCCCGCCACGCCACGCCCCCTCCGGGACGAGGCGGCACAGAGCACGCTCGTGGGGGCCTCGGAGGTGCGCCCCGCCCCTTCTGAAGCTCAGAGAGACGCGCCAGGGCCGGTAAACAAAGCACGGGCCGCCCCCGCCACCCGAGGAAATCACAACATCCCGGCCGCTGTCAGAAGGCGAGTGTGAAGCGGAGTTCAAACCCTCGCCCTCACACGGCCCTTTGACGGGGGCTGCCGGGGGGGGGGGCCGACGTGGGTCCCCGGCTCTGAAGGCCGTTCGGAGCCGGCGCATTGTCCGGCTCCCTTTGCCGCGGGCGCAGAGGCGCGTGGTGTCAGAGGCAGGGGCAGCGGGGACGCAGTGGGGGACCGGGGAAGATGACAGGTGCTGGGGGAAGGAAGAGACAACACAGGGTCAGGCCGAGTCACAGGAGTGGGGATGAAAGGGACACGGCGGGGGGAGGGGAGAGGGCACAGAACGCAGAGAGCAGCAGCTCTGCCTCCCGGGCCACGGCAGCGAGCGCGCGGGGCGCCCCTCCAGACGAGCCGAGTGGAGCGGGTTTTCGGAGACCCCGGCGCACTTACACGGAGCCCTGATGCGCGGACGCACGCCGGCGCAGGTCCCAGTCACTGACCGGGGTGCGGGTGCTCTGGGAGGCGGCCGAAGGCCCTCAGACTGACTCCGGGACGGCTGCCCGTCTCTGTGAGCACGCTGAGAGTGAGCGAGCCGCCGCCTGCCTCACACAGGCGGGGCCGCACGTCGTGCGAGGTAGTCTCTCTCTGGACGAAGCCGCTTTTCTGGAAAGGAGAGCTCTAGAGGGTGGCCACCGCAGTGCCGCATGGTACGACGCAATCGAATACGGAAGACGGAGCCAGTGGGCTGGACCGTACAGTGCGGTGCGGGGTCAGTGTCGCGCTGGAGGGTTGGGGGGCGGGGCTTGGGGACGCTCAGAAATGGAAGCCGAAGGCCATGTGCTGGGCTTGAGCCCCAAAGCTGAGCTCCGGAGGGGACTGAGGTGGCTGCCCAGGCCTGTGGCCACTGCCAGCCCCTGGCTCTGTGCTGCGGACCCCGGCGGAGCCGGTCCCGTCCCCTCCGTGTCCTGTGGAGCTGAGCGCAGGCCCGGCCCCTGCCCAGTTTCCTCCCGCCCTCCCTCTCCCTCCCCCAGTGCACACCGCTGTCTCTGCCCCGCCGTCACCCCGCCGTCTCTTCCCTGGCCGCCCGCCACGGCAGGCGTCCTGCAGCCCCTCGTCTCTCCTGCTGCCCGGCGGCCAGCCCCACGGGCTCCAGTCCTCTGCTTCGGGGCACCGGGAAGGAGGAGCAGGCGGGAAGGAGGAGCAGGCGGGGAGGGGTGCAGTGAGGCGGCACCTGCGACGGGGGAGTGGGAAGGTGCCGGGAAAACTCGGAAGAGAATCGAGGGGGCGTGGTGCTCCCGGGGTCAGAGGCCAGCTTGTTTGTGGGATCACCCTTGCCGGGTGCGAGCTGCCCACCACAGACCGGCCTCCGGGGCCCCGACAGGCTCTGGAGCCTGGGAGCAGCACCGTCCGGTGGGGTGAGACCCCTTCAGGGGTCCCTGCCTCCCTCCAGCCTCATCCCCTTTTACACGACCGGCCAGCCACCCCACTGGAGTGTGGGGCTCTGGCTGCTGCGGGACGGGGGTGCTGCTTCGCACGGAGGCGCCCCCGGCTGAGCGGGCTGGGGAAAGGCCCGGCGCGTCTGGAGAAAAACTCAGTTAAATACAGAGAAACTAATTAACGCACACTCCCTCTTTGATGACGTAAATCTGCAGTCTTTAGTCACCTGGCTGTTTCTGCCA